TCTTTCCCTGCACCCTTCCCCCAGCTCCCAAGTCGATGCAGGGTAGAAGCAGGATGCAGGTAAGCAGGAAGGGGGAGCCCATGGGCGGGCCAATTGGTACTGCTTCCTTTCTGCCCTGGTGCTGACTTGCTTCTTGTTCTTTGAGTCCCTTTTTCACTGAACTCAGCTTTACAGCTAAAAACAAAACAGTAACAAAGGATGTAAAAAACACTTCTTAAGTGTTTTTGGTTGGGTCGGTCAGGTGCTTGGTTTTTTGGATTGCTTCATTCTTCTGATGCAGTCCAGTGGCTGCTGTCGGAAAGTGGCCAGGTAAAGGGGACCGAGTCGCTCTGCTCCAGCTTGTCTTCATCTGCATGCTTCGTTACTGTTGGTGTGCTTAATTTTGTGAAAACAATGTTTCTAGCCCTTTGGAGCTCTCCACGCAAGGCTTCAGTAAAATTGCATGATGGGCCAGCCAGTGGAAGGGTGGTCTGCGTGGTTCGTCCCAAACCTGGGGCTTGAGAGACGCTCTGGGCACATGCGTGTGCATGCCCAACATCCCGAGAGGAGAATGGAGAAGAGACTGTGGCATAACCGTCCCTCCCTTCTACCAGAGCTGCTTCTCGCTCCCCGAACACCTCTGTCTCTCTCCAGCATGTACATGCCCATAACAAATTAAAAAAAAAAATTGCATAGTATTAAAGAGAAAATGTAGCCTTTTAGCAAGGAAAGTAGGAGTTTTCTATAACAAATTGCCCTTCTCTTTCATTTGGCAAATAAAATAAGTATATTGTTGACAGGAATGTGACCTGAGTTCCAAAGGTGCAGGTGAACTAGAGTGAATGTCATTCATTCATTCACTCATTTACTTACTTACTTTTAAACATTTTTACCACACAGAGACAGGGAAAGTGAGAAAGCAAGCCTCCAGGTCCAGGACTTAAACTGCAGTTGGCCATGTGGGAGTCCAGCACCCTAACCACCATGCCACTTGCCAACCCAGACTAAATATCTAAGTCTAAATTTTGCCATCTGTGAATGGGGGACAGGGCGTTCTCCTTTCTTTCTGTATCATCTTTTGATGGACACTAGTAAAAGCAATAAACAAAAGCAAAAGGTATAAATTATTCCTTACAATACAGTAACTTATTTTTTCCTTATTCAGGATAGAGCATGAGTATGCATGGGAGAGCCAGAGACAGAGGGAGGGAAAGAGAGAGGCACCCTTCAGGGTCTGGTCACACTGCAGCAGCCCCCTCCTTTGGTCCTGCTGTCCTCGGTCCATCAGGTCTTGGGCACTCCTGCATGTGCCCATCATGTTTCTGAGCTGGGGCCTTGGACTACAGTCACTACTGGGTCCGGTTTCTCTGGAGCAGCACATCCCACTACGCCCGGGCTGACTTGGACTGCGGTAATCTTTCTTTCTTTTTAAAATTTTTACATGATGCGTGTGCTTGCCAGAGAGATACAGGGAAGGAGTGAGAAAGCACCTTCCGTTAAGGATGGCCACGCTGCAATCCCTTCTCCTCCGTCTTTCCTTCTTGAGGGATTTTGGGCATGCTTGCACCTGTGCCCAGTGTGTTTTCCGAGCCCCTGGGTCTGGGACTCAAACAGTACAGTTGGCCATGTGGGACCCTGCTGCCTTCGTCACCACACCACCAGCCGGCCTGTGATTGTCGTAATCTTGATTGACATTTGAACTTCCTTCCCAACTCTGAATTCTATGACTATAAATAACAAAATGCTTTCACTTTTCCAGCCAGTCCTTTAAATACGTTGGTAAAATCTAAAGGCCTCTTTCATTCTATGGTAAGCCAGACCATCATTTTTTCCATACAGACTGCCAGAGAGGCTCATTTTCCTCTTCATACTCAAAGCTGAGAATAGACTTCTTAGGGACTTTCTTACTCCTCTCTCTCTGTTCCTTACCCAAGAGTTAAGATTTTTTAAAAATTTAATGGTGGAGGCAGGCAGATAGTATGGTGGTTAAGGATACTGGACTCCCACATGGCCAACCGTGGTTCAAGTCCTGGACCTGCCAGCTTGCTTTCTCACTTTCCCTCTC